AAATTAAATGGGTTATACAAAAACAAAAAAACGGACAAAAAAAAGGAGGAGAATCAACGTGACGAAGTCAAAAAAAAAAAAAATGAAAAATGAAATTCCATTTTGATTTAGAATTTTAATATAAACATATTACATCATTACATTACATTAGATGAGCTTAGAAATAATGAAAAAAAATAAAAATTCATAATGCGCATTATTATGTGGTTGATAATTATTTTTTTTCTGGTTGTTGCTGTTATTCACAAATTCATTCCAAAAAAAAATATTAATGATTAATTTTTTTCCTGACTTGTCAAAATTTCTTTCTGGTCCTATTCTGTTTTGTTTTGTTTTGTTATTCCAATCAAAATTTGATGACAATGACTATAGTAGGCAAAAAAAAATCATATTATTTTTTTTTGAGGTGAATGATTGGCAAGATGAGTGTTTGTGTGTGTGTGTGTGTGTGTAAGAATAAAAATTAATAACAAGATTATGGCTATAGCCTATTAGAAAATTCTTTATTGGATCATTTGAAATGTTAATCCTTTGCGATGAAAATCATGACGAAAAATAAAACTAAAAATAAATAAATTTCCAGAATATTTAGAATTCTATTGTTTTTTTTTTGTTCGTCATCATCGTCGTCGCTGTTGTTGTTGTTGTTTCATATTCAAACAGAAATTTTTCATTTTTTTCGAAAAAATTTAAAAATAAATAAATAATAGCTTTACAATGTATTCTTGGAATTTTTTTTTTTATTTATTCAAATTTAAAATTTCCATTAAGTTTAGTTTCATTTTTTTTTTGCTTGTTCAATTTTGCCAAAAATAATTCTACTGAACAAGTTGAAAAGAATGGGTTAGAGAAAAAAATGTTATTTCATAAGAAAAAAAAAGAAAAAGGAAAAGTGAGAGAGAAAAAAAAAATCCGGGAAAAATAATGGACTAGACTAGAGATGTCATTCATAATTTGGTTTCTTGGATTTCTAAGAAAGAAAAGTAATTAATTTTTATCATGCGCTAAATTTTGATCAATGTTTAATTAACATGTATGTTGTGTTGTTTTTTTTTGTTTTGCATCTTTGGCTCGATATCAGAGTGTCAAATTTCATTCAAAGTTTTGCATTTTCATTTTTATTTTTTTTATTTGATTGGCCAGAATATAAAGAATATACTTTTCTTTTCATTTCATTTTTTTCTGAGTTCATCACAAAAGAAATCTGTAATGTGATTTTCATTTGACGTGTGACAGTTTTATGCACCCCAAAAAATTTTGGATATATTTGCAAAGTCATTCATTATTATTAATATTTTCTTTTTCTTCTCTCAATTTTGATAATCTATATTCTTTAAATCATATATTTAAGATGAATACAATGTTGATTTGGCATAATGTTTCAATAGATTTTTATTTCATCATATAATTTCAATAAATTGATTATTTTTCAAATATTGAGATCATGTAATAGTAAATTTCGTTATTCGTTTTCAAAGAAAAAGTTGGACCACTAACTTTAAAATCGGTTACAATGGAAAACAAAATGAATATAATTAATCTCTTCCAACAATTTATAATCAAAGTTTTTTTAAACAAATTATTTCAGTACTTTAAAAATTATGAAAAATATTCTGAATTCATACAAATGAGTTCAAATCCTTTGGTTATTAATTGACCAGGCGTAAATATATAAAATTACACAATATTTTAAATGTAGGGTTTGTTGTTTCATTTTCCTTTACCATTGCATTTTTCCATTTTGTTGATGATATCAAGCCCAATAGTTATAATGGTAGCCGAATGATAATCAAAAACAAAAAAGTATTTTTCTTTCTGTTTCTTTTATCAAATGAAAGCACAAAAACTTTGATTTTGGTTGAACAAATTCAAACGTTTGGCCTGAAAGTTAGCTATCAACATCGTTGTTTATTCGATCAGTTTATTGAAAAAAAGGCATCCAAACAGAAACAAAAAGTTTTCCAATGCTTTAGTGGACCTGAAATTGAAAACAGACTTAATAATTGATTTACACTAAAAACAATACGAATTTATTTTTGTTTGTTTGTTCGAATTGTACAAATCATGAAATAATAATAACAGCAACTACAAAAATTATTAAATATAGATCGCAAATGATTCTAAATACAAAAAATTACCGAGAAAATTTTTTGAAAAAAAACTCTCAGATCAATTAATTAAAAGAAAGATGAAATTGTTTATATATGGATCGATTTGAATGGAAAGAGAAAAATTTCTTTTCAAAAAACCATTCAATTCAGATTTAGGTGTGTGTGTGTGCATATGGCATTACAATTTGTTTTGTTATCAAATATAAAAATAATTATTTTGTTTCGGTTACCAGTTTCATTTTCAATAATGTTTATAATGTGTGTATGTGAAAAAAAATGAAATTTGAATTCAACTTCTTACGAATATAATATTTGGGAATGTTGAACTCAAAAAAAGTCTATATATAAGTTGTATGTAGAATTCAGTCAAGTATGTTTATGTCATGAGATTTCAATTCAAAATACACACACATGAACACAAACCTATTATCCATATTCTGGATATTTTTTTTCGATTTTCTTTACACACATATAATAAATATATCAGTAAAGATGGAAAAAAAATATCAAAAACATACGACTTTCTGGAACTTTTTTTTCTCTCTCTCTTTCTTTTTAGTCTCTATTATTGTTGCCTTTAAATTTGTCATATTAATTGATTGTTGTCGATGTTAATATTAGCTAAACATTTTTATTTTCTAATTCAAAATTGAAAAGTAATTAAATTATTTTAGAAAAGATTGAAATTCAAAGAAATAATAGTTAATAAACTGATTGATTTTTTTTTTAAATTTCATTTTATTCGGTTTGAATCGGAAATCAATAACGGAAGATCATTATGTAAAATTTTCTATCTTCAATGATCACTGTGTCATATGAATAGATAGTATCAAAACCTTTTTTCTTAAAAAAAAACAACAAAATTTTGGAGTCAAAAGAATCGCTTTGAAAATTTTACTTTATTTATTTCAATATTCAAAATAAAGTAAATAACTTTTGAATTTTGTTTTCTCTTATATCTACCGAATAATAATTTTTCAAGTTGAAATCTGGCGCAAAAGAACAAATAATTTGATAGCAAAAAAATCAACCAAGTAAAATAAAATAAACCAGGTAAAAGTGAAAGTAGTGAAATTTCAATCAATTCGTATTTGATGATGATGATCATCATCATCATCCTCATCATCATCGATAAGATCGATATTCACATTATAAGAGAAAAAACTTCGAACCATATGGCAATTGATGTTTAGAATAAATCTAAACAATATAAAATAAATTGATAAAAGAGAAAAAATATGATAAAGAATTGGATATTTTTTTTTTTGGTATCATCATCTTGGAAACTCTATTTTTACTGCAATGTTCACTTAAATGAAAATGATCAAAGTCAATGAATGAACAATGTTTTAGTTGATGATGATGATGATGATAGGGAGAAAAACTATATAAAAAGAAGATCGGTGTGTTGTGTAAGGTGAAAAAAAAGTGTAAATCGAATCGAAAAGAAGAATTCTATAGTTTTTTTTACCTATTTTGTTTATAAACAGAATAATAATCTAAAATATCCTGGCAAATTGTGAATATAACAACAATCCACTATTCACAATTGTAAAAGGTTTTTTTTATTTTGTTTTGTTTGCTTCTTTCATACAAAGAATCTCGAACAATATTGAAAATTGCTGCCTGTTTTTTATTCTATTTTTTTCTCTCACATATGAAGTTTGCCAAAGAAAACGAAACGAATGAATTCTCATTTTGTTTTATTTTATTTTGTTTCGTTTCGTTTCATTTCACACAAATACACACACACACATTTATGACACAAACAAAGTTTGATAGGTATAATACACAAATATGATGATGATATTATTGTAAATAACGATAATGAAAAAAGAAAAGAAACACAAGCCTTCCTAGAATCCAACTACCTATCCAATTATCAATGGATCATCATTTCGAATGTTTTGTGTGTGTGTGTGTGTGTGTTCCACTTAGTTGATTACCAGCAATTTACTGTCTTACTGTCATCATCTTTTCTTTCTTTTTTTTTGGTTCATCCCTTCATCATCATCAGCCACACATTTTATCATTCTGATTGTATAAATGTGTCTTCGAATAAACTTTGATTCTTTTCATTTTTCATTATTTATTACAACAACATCATCATACTTAATATTGTTATTAGATAATTTTGTTTTTGACAAGAATTTGTT